CACACTGTCCCCGTACGTTCACTCTTCGAATGGGCCTGTTAGACCACATGCGCATTCATGGACAAATGCAGTAGACAATCGCCGGCTACATCACCCCATCACACCTTCCCGCACCAGCACCTACACCCGACGACAACAACGCCACCCATCGCAAACACTCGATTGCCACCTCTCACACGAGTGGGGAGTGTGCTTCTCGGTTTCGTCTCCATGTGGCTCCTCTGCTGCATGCGTGATCTGAGTCTGAGACTTTCATGGCGTGCCAAGCGCCGTGGCTTGGAAGACTGTCGACTGACGCCTAAATTCAGTACACGCATTCTGTCCAGTTGTGTGCGTTTGTGTGGAGTGACGGACTGGTGGGCTGAGAGCCAGACTGTCACAGCTCCGTCCTAACTGATCTGTGACACTGCCATGCATGTGAGGGATGTGTGCGTGCTTTATGGGTAGTGCCTTTCAGTCGCCGACTGACTGGCTACCCAACATTTGAAGGGTGATAGCTCAGGACAAGTTCAGGGCTGCGCGTCCCCATTCTGGGCCTCAAGGTTTGAGAGTGTCTGCTATGTTATGATCAGCAGACCGTGGCACTCGTAGCTTGGTGTGCGCTGGCAGTGATCTGGAATCTGGCTCCCCGCTGGTAGATGCGCTTGCACTCCCGCTCGGTACACATGTCGTGTGCATGGCTGCCCAGTCATCCTTTTCTTTCTGGCCCGTTTTGATGCTGTTGTTGGTTGAAATTCTGGTCAAGTGTTTGTTGTGGACCGGGAGGTGCGGTTGTACGCCAAGGTGGGGGTCCGGTCGTGCCAGCCACCTGCGCCCTCTCCTGCCTCCGGTCTTCTTGGCTGGGTCTTGACACCTTGTTATATCCCCAAATAGTATGACGCCAGTTCTGTGCGGAATAGAAGACAGACAGGATACCAGAGAACAACTTTACTGTGTCAGTCACTCTGTGTACACCAACTCTTAATCCTTCCGTCTGTGGCTTCGTATTTAAGGGTTCAGCCTTCGTCTGGTTTGCATGTTCCTACTGGTCCAGTCCGGAGCGCCCGCATGGGCAGGCCCTCGAGTGTTGTTGGCCCCTGAAGGTCGCGCATGACTCAGCGGCGTGCTAATGTCTGGCTCGCATGCGGGCTTCCTAGGCGAGGCTGTCCGGCGAGTTTGCGCTTCTTTGTCAAGCGTGACCCCCGGACGACAGGAACGATGCGTCGTATTCCGGGCCGTCCTAACACACCCGGCCCAGGTGGAAAGGAGGAGAGAGTGCGGCAGATGCAGCGCAAGTCCACCATCACAATAAAAGAAATCTCGTGCAAGTCACCGTCCCTGCTCTCACACTGTTGTGGAGCGCATGTTGGACATCGTCAGAGGTGATGGACTAACTGTCTTGCCAATTAACATAGTGGATATATTTTGGAAACTGGATGGTCTGCCAAAATATAGCTGTTCAAACCATCCGTTTCGGGACGGTAAGCGTTCCCAAAATCCTTCATGTTTCCCTCAAAAGTATGACGGACTCAAGTCATGCATAACAAAATGAGCTACCGAATTGTGACACTTTCCGCTCATTTGGGGCACTTTATTTTGGCCAGTGTCATAACTTCAAGGATAGGGGGTAGATTTTGATACCGTCGATAGTTTTGGATGCGGTGAAGCCGTCGTAGCCACCCGTTTCAGTGTCAAGGGTGGAGTATTGTTCGGCAACGCTGCGTTTACTGTTTGGTGTTTCGTGATTGCAACTTTACTCTACGTTCTGAGAGGACGCCACGACTTTTAGCTTACCGTGATAGTTTCAAAACGCTTCAGGCTGTTTATAGTGAGGAATATGCGCTGAGTGGCGTTCGAGTCGACCGCACTATCGCTCCCCCAGGCATCGGTGTACTGTTCGAGTCGGTTAACAATCTAATGCAGGAATTGGTCGCAATTGCTGACGTGGCTAGACAGCTTGTATACACCCGCCACACGCGCTTTTCGCACAACACGCCGGGTTTTTGCTCCCCTCTAACCTGACATGCATGAGAGCCTCTTTAGGGAGCCAAATAAGAGGGAGCCATTGGGACTGACCCCAAAGTCCACCGGTCGATAACTCCACACAAACACACATAGGATCGACCCCGAGTCATGAGTCGTAGCCTCAGTTGGTAAACTTCCAACCCACGGCGTTCAGTATTTCATGATCGATTCAAGCGCTTTGGATTTATTGTAGTGAGGAAAATGCCTGAAAGTACTATGGGGATGGAATCCCTGGAGTCGGCCTCCCTCCCTCTTCTGTCTCACATGCATTAGCGGGTTGTCCGACTGATTGGGCGCAGTGTCTGACAGGGCTGAAACAGCCCGTCTGAGCGTCCCAAATACCATCCGGTCCCCCACACGGCAAACGAGGTTGTCATGTTAAGACTGTACCCGAGGCAACTGCAGGTTGTAGGACGCCAGGATAGATCACCAGCCGGTGGTCCGTGTCTTACGGAGATGGTGGTAATGGGGGTTTTAGGGTTGGGGCGGCCTGCGCGTAGGACGGAAGGTAGAATTCAAGGAAGCCCGGAAAATAATTGAATTTCAGCCGTAGAACTTGACATGCACTGCTGTACAGCAACGGGAGGTTAGCGCTATAAGTAAAAAATGAACGAAAAACAATTTTCGAAAAATAATGGAGATTGAATAGGCTGCCGCTGGCAAGTTTACACCCGGTCAGACAGCCAAGACGATTCAAGCTGATAGAAACGACGAACAATAAATGATGTTTCCACTCCCACTGTCTTAAGTATCTGCATTGGAGTAGTCATTGAGTGACAGCAAACCCAAATCTGTCAATCTCAAAATGCAGCACGAAGCCGAAGCAACGTAAGTCTTAACAAATATCGTTGTACCCTATTAGAGATTCCTGCTGAAAATTGCAGGATGATGTTTAAAAAGTAAATTTACGGAAGCATAGGCTGAGTGGGGGTACGTGGCAATGTAAATGTGTACAGATTGAAAAATCCAAAACACACAAACGAAGACGGCAGTGTAAATAGGAGATATCTATTGGAGAAGGGCATTGTTTTAAGTAATTATTTTTGCCTTTAGAATTGCAGACCATCATCTGCAGAAAACAGGAAAACTGCATCACCGCACCCAGGTCGACGTACGAAAACTTAAGAAATAATGGATGTTATTAATTCGAAGACGATTTTGGAGTACTGTCAGCCTAGGGGCTACTACCAACTACCGCCAAAGCATACACCAGCTGCGGCTGAAAGTCAGGAAGCACAGCACGGGTGTGCGCGACGCGAAAAGCGGAGAGCAATTAAAACCGGCTCGGTGTTTGACTAGAAATCGGAACAATCCAGATTATTTTCCTGGCATTTTTGGAGGGAACAAGGGTCGCTAAGTTCGAAAATGTTGATGTGGTTCAGCCCAAACGCCATGGGGCTAAAAAGAGCATTGGAAATCTTCCCATCGCATATTGCGAAAGCTTACACAGCGCAGCAGCAGCAGCTGGCATGTCCGAAGTAAAGGAATGTTAACAAATACGGTTTATCGCTGGGCTGTGAATGTCTGTACATATAGTCGGTTCGGGCCAACTGCATTGAAATTCCTTTTGAAAGAAGTCCCCGTTATAAAAATTCAAGGTGCACGAGAGTGTCTGTATTCGCCTCGGTACATGGAGAGAGGAGAGTGACTACGACGCTTCTCGACTCCCTGAGTTAATTTCGAAGAAGGTAATAGTTGAGAGCAAGGTAGTGTCTGTACTGGCCTCGTTACATGAAGCACCCAATATACAAATAAGCATGCCTACTGAGACGGGTACAGTAGAAAGCTCCGTGTAGGTTATTCTGCCTAGGGTCCCACAACCTACCCTTGCCGTACTCTGCTGTGATAAAAATGTGTTGTAATATCATAGAGGTCACGTGGGGAAGGGACCAAGAGCACTTCTAGCCTGCGTGACAGCGCCTATTCTTAGGGTATAGAGGATGAGGAGGGATGCATTCATGTGTGTTGCTCGTTATCGATTTCCCCTATAACGGTCCACGCTGTCCGTCACGATTTACTCTGCCGAAGGACTTTGTCAGTTCTGGGAAGATAATATAAAAGCTTCTCTGAATTCCTTGTCGCTTCTTGTAGTTGGTGAGTGGTGAGGATCGTGTCGTTGGTTCTGTACTGTCGTCTGAAACCACACTAGCTTCCCAGATGTCGTGTTTCAAATGATCGTTGAGAAGATTGAAGAGGAGATGGACGAAGATATTCCCGGCAATTTTGGGTGGCGATTGTCACTGAGTTGACGATACGTCCTTAAGAACACCCTTGTGTGTGTATTGCGGACTCCGCCGGACGGTTGGTCGGATGGAAAATCGCGTCGGAACCGTCGTGACGAGGCTCCGTCTGGTACGCCGCTGGTCAGCCGGTTGGTTGGAACTTCGCATCGGCATTGTCCAAACGAGGCTCCGCCTGGCAGGCCGTTGGTCAGCCGGTGACGGGATGGATCTCCGAATCGGCATCGCCGAGACGCGCCCATCTGGTGCACCGTAGGAGACCGCAGGCTTACGGCAATGTCGTAAGCCATTGGCAGATTCGAGTCGTTATTCTGTCGAATGCTGTGTGGTCGACAAGATAAGGATTCCCAATCAAAAGATAGGGAAGACGGTTTGAGTTGGACAACCTTTACTGCCTGCGAAAGTGCGTACACAAGGGCTCCGTAGGCAGTCGCCGCGAGGGCGCTCCAAGCAAGGTATTGTCTGTGTCCGCCTTCGGGGTGTTGTTAGCGCGTGTGTGCGTCCTTCATTGACTCCACGTCGCCAGCCAATCAGAGTGGGGACAGCGTTGATTGGCTTCGAGCACACGCGCGTCCCAGCAGCGTATCGACATGGAGTGTGAGGCGGACAGGACGGCAGCGTGACAAAGGCGGAGGGCGAGGAGACGCGAACTGTCACACTTCCACTACCAAAAAATTTCGTGGCCCACAATGGCAACCGGTCGCGCTGGCACAAAAAAGCAGCCCTATTCAGGGACAGGGCAGTGTTTCGCTTCGGATGGGGCCTGGAAAAGCTGGCCTAAAGATTGCTGGGGAACCACGTAGTCTGCAGACCGACCGTGGTCGCAGACGCAAAACTCACGGTCAAAACAATGAAAATCGAAACAAAAACAAAAACAACAACAACAACAACAACAACAACAACAACCATACTTATTCTCCTCATTCTACCTCTTCTTTCCCTTCCTCTGCCTATACTTCTCCTTCGTCACCTTCTTCTCCAGCTCCTTCCCGTCGCCCCACTCGTTTTCCCCAGACTGACAGGGTGAGCCCGCTCACTCTGGCAGCCTGGAATGTTCGTTCCCTTTTAGACAATATGAGGAGCAACCGACCAGAACGGAGGACGGCGCTAGTGGCACGAGAACTGGCGCGCTACAAGGTGAACATCGCCGCACTAAGCGAGACTCGATTCTCCGAACAAGACCAACTGGAGGAGATGGGTGCCGGCTACATCTTCTTCTGGAGTGGTCGCCCCTGGGCAGAGCGACGAGACGCGGGTGTCGCCTTCGCCATCCGGAACGACACCGTGGGACGACTGCCCTGTTTGCCGCAGGTCATCAACGATCGCCTGATGAGCCTCCGCCTGCCTCTCCGGCGGGGAGGCAAATTCGCCACCATCATCGACGCCTACGCTCCGCCGATGACCAGTTCCGACGCCGCAAGAGACAAATTCTACGAGGACCTGCAGGCCCTCTTGGCGACTGTGTCGAAGGCGGACAAGTTGATTGTCCTTGGTGACTTCAACGCCCGCGTCGGCACAGATCATGCTGCCTGAAGAGGAGTGCTGGGTCCCCACGGTCTCCGCGGCCCAACGACAATGGTCTGCTGCTTCTCCGCACCTGCGCAGAACACCGCCTCATCCTGACGAACACGTTCTTCTGTCTGCCGGAGCGAGAGAAGGCCACCTGGAGGCATCCTCGGTCGCGTCAGTGGCATCTGTTGGACTATGCCCTCATCCGGAGGCGAGACCAGCGGGACGTGCTGGTGACGAAGGCGATCGCGGGTGCTGACGGGTGGACAGACCACCGCCCCGTCACAACGAAGATGTGTCAACTGCGGGACACGGTCCAGTCGACGGCGCTCGCCGTCCTCGGTCGCGCTCCCCGCCAACACCAGGACTGGTTCGACGACAACGACGCCGCCATCAGAAATCTGCTTGCTGAGAAGAACCGCCTCCACAAAGCCTACGTAGATCATCCCACTGAGGACAACAAAGCTGCCTTCTACCGCAGTCGCCGACAGCTTCAGCAACGACTGCGCGAGATGCAGGACGCCTGGACTGCTCGCAAAGCTGAGGAGGTCCAAGGCTACGCGGACCGCAACGAATGGAAGAACTTCTTCTCCGCGATCAAAGCTGTCTACGGTCCGCCGACGAAGGGCACTGATCCTCTCCTCAGCGCCGACGGCAGCACTCTCCTGACTGAGAAGACGCAAATCCTAAAGCGATGGGCCGAGCATTTCCAGGGTGTCCTCAACCGCCCTTCCGTCATCTCCGACGCCGCCATCGCCCGCTTGCCGCAAGTGGAGACCAACGTGGACCTCGACCTCTCGCCATCTCTCCAGGAAACCATCAGGGCCGTGCAGCAACTCTCCAGCGGGAAAGCACCCGGATCGGACGCAATCCCTGCCGAGGTCTACAAGCACGGAGGTCCCCTACTGATGGATCACCTGACTGCGCTCCTCCAGGAGATGTGGCGTCAAGGTGAAGTCCCGCAAGATTTCAAGGACGCAACAATCGTGCACCTATACAAGCGCAAAGGGAATCGCCAAGTCTGCGACAACCACCGCGGCATCTCCCTACTGAACATCGCCGGGAAGATCTTCGCTCGCATCCTGCTCAACCGCCTCAACAACCATCTGGAACAGGGCCTTCTGCCGGAAAGCCAATGCGGCTTCCGTCGTCATCGCGGGACCACGGATATGATCTTCGCCGCCCGTCAACTTCAGGAGAAGTGCCAGGAGATGCGGACCCACCTGTACTCTACCTTCGTGGACCTGACGAAAGCCTTCGACACGGTGAATCGTGAAGGACTGTGGAAGATCATGCAGAAATTCGGCTGTCCCGAGCGATTCATTCAGATGGTGCGTCAGCTGCACGACGGTTTGATGGCGCGAGTCAAGGACAACGCAGTTGTCTCAGAGGAATTCGCAATGACCAACGGAGTGAAGCAGGGATGCCTGCTGACGCCTAACCTCTTCAGTCTTATGCTCTCTGCCATGCTGATGGACGCCTACCGTGATGAACGCCCCGGGATCCGCATCGCCTACAGGACGGACGGTCACCTGCTGACTCAACGACGGATGCACTTCCAATCGCGCGTATCCACAACTACCGTACACGAACTCCTCTTCGCCGACGACTGCGTCCTGAACACCACCTCGGAAGAGGAGATGCAACGGAGCATGGACCTATTCTCCGCCGCCAGCGAGAACTTCGGTCTGGTCATCAACACGCAGAAGACGGTGGTGATGCATCAGCCGCCGCCCAACTCAGCCACAGCCCCCAACGCGCCGCCGCAAATCAGCGTGAACGGAAATCATTTGCAAGTAGTAGAGAACTTCCCGTATCTGGGCAGTACCCTCTCCCACAACACCAAGATTGATGACGAAGTCGCCAGGAGGATCTCGAAAGCCAGTCAAGCCTACGGTCGTCTCCGAAACACAGTTTGGAATCGCCACGGTCTCCAACTGAGCACGAAGCTGAAGATGTACAAGGCCGTCATCCTGCCGACGTTACTGTACGGAGCAGAGTCATGGACGGTGTACACGAGACAGGCACGCCGACTGAACCACTTCCACCTCAGTTGTCTCCGTCGCATGCTGAGGCTGAACTGGCAGGATCGAATCCCCGACACGGAAGTACTGGAACGAACGGGAATCCTCAGCATCTACGCCATACTGAAACAAATGCAGCTGCGCTGGAGCGGCCACCTGGTGCGCATGGACGACGAGCGACTACCCAAACGACTCTTCTACGGAGACGTCTCGACGGGTTCTCGTCGTCAAGGAGGCCAAATTCGCCGTTACAAGGATACTCTGAAGTCCTCCCTGAAGCGCCTGCAAATCAACCCGACCAACTGGGAAGAGCTCGCTCGCGATCGTCCGACATGGAGGAGAACAGTGAAGACGGGCGCTGCTATCTATGAAGCCAACCGAATCGCCGCCGCCAAGGCGAAACGCGAAGCCCGCAAATCACAACTTCGCCCAGGCCACAACGCCGCCGCACAACCGCTCCCAACGTGTCCTCGATGTCAACGGACATTCCGGGCACGAATCGGACTTGTTGGACATCTCCGAACCAACTGCACCTCTCGAACTGCTCCAGCCATCGTCCCCCCGCCCGCCTCTTCCTCCTCCCTTCCGCCAACTAACTCTGACACTCCTTCTGCACCACCAATTCCATCCTCCTCGTCCTCGTCGTCCTCCTCCCTCTCCACTGCCCCAGCGGCGACCGTTCAGACTGCTGTCTCACACATCACCAACACCAACAAACCAACTAACATCACCTCTCCCACCTCTCCCGATACCACTGATGAGGATCAGGACTACACCTGTCCTCACTGTGACCGCACCTTCACTTCACGCATCGGCCTGGTCGGTCACTTGCGAATCCATCGCACAGAGACTGGCGAACCAGTGCCTGGAGCACCAACCTACACCCACCGCACTCGCCTCCGCTGCCCACAATGCCCTCGCACCTTCACTCATCGCATGGGTCTATTCGGCCACATGCGCATCCACCAGAGCGGAATTGACCGAAGCCTTGACACATCCACCCCGCCGAGCCCCACTCCCAATCCACCACCTTGTGCACCCACTAAACACTCCCCAGCCGACATCGTCGCCACCGACCTTACCACCCCTCACTCCTCCCCCTCCTCCTCCTCTTCCTCCTTCACTGCCACAACGACGGCCGCTTCGGCGTCTGTCGCCCACGACTTCACCACAGCCGAACCTGACACAACAACAGGCACAACCCCTGCAACCTCCATCATCAGACGTGAGGGCCAGGACTACATCTGCCCTCACTGCGATCGCACCTTCACTTCACGCATCGGCCTGGTCGGTCACTTGCGAATCCATCGCACAGAGACTGGCGAACCAGTGCCTGGAGCACCAACCTACACTCACCGCACTCGCCTCCACTGCCCACACTGCCCTCGCACCTTCAGGCATCGCATGGGTCTATTCGGCCACATGCGCATCAACGAGAGCGGAATTGACCACAATTCCGATACAGCCACGACATCCAACACATCCACCACGCCCAGACCCAACCTCGCTCCACCGTCACACGCGCCGACCACCACCACCACCGCCAACACCACCACCGCCACCACTGCTTCCTCTACAGATGACACCGACACCGCCAACCTCTCATGCCCACATTGTCCACGCACCTTCACCTCACGCATCGGCCTGGTGGGTCACTTGCGAATCCATCGCACAGAGACTGGCGAACCAGTGCCTGGAGCACCAACCTACACCCACCGCACTCGCCTCCACTGCCCACACTGCCCTCGCACCTTCACGCATCGCATGGGTCTATTCGGCCACATGCGCATCCACGACGACCTGCGGTAGAGAACCGCCGGTCAAACCACACATTCCCTCATTCCCTACCTCCTAACACCATCACACCACCAGACATCAACACTCACACACCTCATGCACTCAACTGCCGCCTCCCACGCAAGTGGGAAGTGTGCATCTCGACTCGGTCCCCATGCGGCTTCGGCTGCACGGGTGACTTGTGTCCGAGACTATCCCGACACTTCAAGTGTCGTGGATAGGAAGGTTGCTGATTGAGGCCCGCTCTCGGTTCGCGCAGTTCGTCACGTTGTGTGTGTGTGTTGTGTGGAGTGGCGGACTGGTGGGCTGGGGACGGGCTGAAACGGCACCTTCCACGGCACTCTCACGCAAGTGAGAGACACGCCGTTGAACCCCCGTTGTTTGAAATCCTGGTGTTTGTGTGTATGGGGGGCCAGGTCGTGCTGTGGCGCGCGCAGGCATGGTCAGTCGACCATGTCAGCCACCGCGCCCATTCCCCACTCCAGTCTACTGACCGGCTCGGACAGTGGCTGGGGTGTGGGAATGGGAAGGGAGAGTGAGGTCGACGACTCAGCGCATTTTCCTTACTATAAACAATCTGACGCGCTTGAAGCTATCACGGTGCGCTAAAAGCCGTGGCTTGGAAGGTTGCCAACTGACGGGGTACCTTGGACCTCCTCCTTCACGGGAGGCGGTCTGAGAGTCAGGCTGCAGTGGCTCCTTTTTAATGTGGCCTTTATGGCATTCCCACCACAGTGTGGGATCCGAGCCAGGCGTTGGCGGCACGCCCAGGTGCGGCTTCGGCCGTGCCAGCCTCCAAATCTCTGTTGTGTTGGTTGAAATCCTGGTTATTGTTGTGTGGACAAGGGGGTGTGATGGAACGCCAAGGTGAGGATCCGTCCGAGCCATCCACCTGCGGCCTCCCTCGTCTCCGGTCTTCTTGACTCTGTCTTGACACCGGGCCCAGGCGGGGGAGGAGGAGAGAGTGTAGGTAGATGCTACGCAAGTCTACTGGCGCTATAAACCCCTGCGTAAGTCACCGTCCCTGCTCCCACTGCTGCTGCAGCTGTGGGGCATACGGTGGACATCGTCGAAATCGACGGTCGAACTGTCGCGCGTGTGTGTGTGTGTGTGTGTGTGTGTGTGAAGTGACGGACTGGTGGGCTGGGACGGGCTGAAAGAGCACCTTCCACGACCCTCTCACGCAAGTGGGAGATCCGCCGGTCAACCCTCGTTGAGTGAAATCCTGGTGTGTGTATGTGCCTGGGGAGCCAGGGCGTGCATGTGGCGCGCGCAGTCATGGTCAGCCGACCGTGTCAGCCATCGCGCCCATCTTCCACTCCAGTCTGCTAACCGGCTCGGACAGCGGCTGGTTGTGGGAATGGGGAGAGTGAGGTCGACGATTCAGCGCACTTTCCTCACTATAAACAATCTGACGCGCTTGAAGCTATCACGATGCGCTAAAAGCCATGGCTTGGAAGGCTGCCAACTGACGGGATATCTTGGACCTCCTCCACTGGAGGTCTGAAAGTCAGGCTGCAATGGCCCCTTCTTAATGTGGCATTTATGGCACTCCCACTGTGTGGGATCCGAGCCTGGCGTTGGAGACACGCCTAAGTGCGGCTGTTTCGGCGGTGACAGACTCCAATCTCTGTTGTGTTGGTCAAAATCCTGGTTATTTGTTGTGTGGACCAGGGGGTTTGGGGGAACGCCAAGGTGAGGATCCGTCCGAGCCAGCCACCTGCGGCCTCCTTCCTCTCCGGTCTTCTTGACTCTGTCTTGACACCGGGCTCAGACTGGGAGGAGAGAGTGTAGGTAGGTGCAGCGCAAGTCTACTTGCACTATAAAACCCTGCGCTACTTGGGGCCAGGTCGTGTATGTGGCGCGCGCACAAGGGCTATCTATCTCTGCCAGATACTGCGCCCACTCTCGGCATTAGACATCTGACCGGTTCGGACATTGAACTTATGCCTTTGGGTGGGAAGAGAAAACGAGGCCGGAGTTTCAGCGCATTTTTTTCAATAAAAAATTCTGACGCGCTTGGGGCTATCACGGTGCGCTAAAAGCCGTGGCTTGTGAGGTTGCCAACCGACAGGATAAAGCGGGTCTCGCAATCAGCCCAGTGTGTGCTTTGTGGAGTGGCGGACCGGTGGACTGGGAGCCAGGCTACAATGGCTCTCTCACCTTGTAGAATCCGAGCCGAGTGCGGCAGCGCGATAATAGTTCGTCCTTCAGCCGAGGGCCGCGGTGCTTGTGGATTTTGGTCGAAATTGCGTCGGCTTCCGCTGTTTCCCCCCTGGGTAGCTGTTGTACAGCCCTTATTGCTTCGGAGAAGGAAGGAGAGAGGTCCAGGTCATTGTTCTTTTCCAACTCTGGGAGCCTGCTGATGACAGCTTCGGGGATTGTAGACGGTCGATTGAGGACTCTTCCGCCGTAGGGCACTCCAGAGAAGACGAGGAAATTCTTCACGTGCAGAATAGCATTGCCAACAAAGACAGGGGAGATCGAAATGGCCACTTCTGAATTATTAGCCGTCAACGGTCCCGTCGCGTTTTGCCTTATAGTTCAGTCTAGAACCCCGCAAGCATCCGCTCAGCGACTAATTTCAGAGGTAGGACGTTATATCTTCAGCCACTAGGTCGTTTGTTTGAACCTCAGGGATTCCAAAACTTGGGGTTGGGTATGGCCGGCTGGTGACGGCTAATAAGCCAGAGATGGCCATTCCACTCCCCCTTGTCTTTGTTGTTAATGCGATTCTGCCTATAATACAAGCCGCTGAGCGGCTATCGGCGGAGCTCGGGAGCGAGCCCTAAGGCAAAATGGAACCTTAACGCGATCGCTGAGCACCCCTATACGACAGGCACGGACACTTGCACTGCACGGTATACAGAGAATCGAGTTGATTAGCTCAGTCGAAGGGCTTCTGTTATATCAGCCAAGACACCATCAAGCGAAAGCTTTTAAAGTCGAGTATTGGTGGGTGGGGTAGTGTGAATTCCAGAATCTAATCACTGTAGCCTTGCTCTGTTTTAGGCATTATTTTTGCCTACAGTCGATAGGTCATTCATAAGGACAATGTTTAAATGGGACGACAGTTATCCCAGGCTCCACGAGTGACTGTGTAAACATAGCCCACGAAGGCGTTATTGTTCTGACGTACTGAAATTTTACCTCTTCCGTTCTACATCAGAGTTGTACCACCGAAAGTATTAGAAACCCTCAAGTTGGTTGAAAAGTTATAAACGATGTTCCCTCAAAAGGGCCTCATTGTTGCTGCCGCTATGGTTCACACGGTAGACGGACACGGCTGTAACGGTACTCCCAAGTGGAAGCCACACATGCATGTTGCATGAGACAGACAGTATTCATGCCATATCAGCCGCTGAGTTCGATCCCATTCCCAGTCGACTTGACTCGAATTGGCCATCGTTGCATGATGGGAAAAATGGGAGGTGGGTCGAATGAGCCTGATCTTAATAATAATAATAGTCTATTTTAGGGTAATAGGCAATGCTCTTGATGACCCTATTGAAAACGTTACATACGATATAAATTTTAAATGCACATCTTACTAAAAGTTTGTCAGTAACATATTTGTTCACGGAAAACGTTTTTACAGTGCGGGACTGCGAAGGGTGCGGCGGGCGGTCTTTTCAATGTACATATGAAATTTTAAATGCAATTATAAACAATCAGCATGAAGTGCAGTCATTTGCGTAGCTTGAGAGGGGAAGTTTCATTAAACGTCAGGGATGTGTTACACAGGGATAAAATCAAGAAATGAAATTTATGGCTGGCCGCAGATAGTCCTGTAGTGAGAGTCATCTTTTTTTTAATCAAAGATCAAACGATCCAGCTGCCTTTTTAATACAGCCATTGTATCAGATGTCACTATTTCACTTGGGAGTGAGTTCCACGGTCGAACAACAGGCTGGCTGAAGGAAAACATCTGATTGTCTAGGCGTGTACGCTCCCGCTTGACTTTGTACGGATGACCGCGCAGGTGACTCATGGTCGTGAATTCAAAGAAGTCTTCAGTTTTAAGCGAACACTCATGCCCGTGGATAATGCGGAATGTCCATAACAGGTCACAACTCATTCGTCTATAGGATAGGGGGGACAAGTTTAGCTGGATCAGTCATTCTGGATATGATCCAGTGCATGCCGTACTTCACCGAAGGAAACTTCGGTCGCATGTAAACCAACGGAATGCACACTGAGACGTGAATTGGAAAAGAGCTAGCGGACGGATTAACTAAATTAGCCTTCGGACGAAGGGGAAAATCCCAATGTCTCTGTCCTAACCGGGGTCTTTTAGCATGCCTCTGTGAAGAGAAGGCCCCTAGTCGGATGAGTCAGATGTTCTTGAATAAGCAATCAACATCTTATTTTTTGTTTTGTTGTCTTCAGGTTCCCCCCTCTTTGTCTAACTTCCTTTAGCCTAATGATTTACACTCCATAAGTGTTTAAGTTCATGCTCATATGTAGGTAGTCTCCCCGAGCAAGCTGCTCTGCGGTTGTACTGAACAAAAGGGAGTGGAGCATTGACTGGTGGTATGTGATTTTCGGGTTGCGCTGTATCTGATTACCGCCTTAACTACAGCCGTGCATTCGTGCAGTACAAGGGAGAGAGAGGCGGAGCCAGGCCCCACGTCCGTCCCTGCACTCAGTCTCCTGTCCAGTCGACTGAAAGACTCGGATAGCTGATTGGCGTTTGGGCGAGGAAAGGAGGGTTGCTTTACTTCCCAACTGCGGGTCAGACCCCGCCATTTAATAATGAAACCGCTTAATGCACACAGACCGAACGGGAACTAGGTAGCACCCTGTGTTAAACTGTTTATTGTACCGTCTCGCAGCAAATATTTCCGGTTGCGTGTGTTCGCAACCGGATGCTGAAGCACTTCCACCAAGCCGGGGTTCTGACATTGGTTCCGCAGATCGACCTGACCACGAGAAGTGTCTGACCGACCACAATAAATCTGTCAGTAAGGTCCATCCCCCTGCCCAATGCTTCTCCCGGTAAACTTCACACAAAATGTTAAAATGACATTGCCCAAGTGAAAGTGCAATACTAGTGACCTTGCAACTTGATTACAAGGTACTTCTAGCATATCACAGGCAGTCCTGCGTTGGAAACTTTTTTAACCACGGCGATGACCGGTAGTGGAAAATGAGTCAAACATAAGTGCTGGGTGCTTTGCCAGTGAATAATTCATGATTACAAGTCTTGCACCACATTCTACAGAAGGAACACGCAAGTGTCTCACTTTTCACTACAATAATAATAAAAATGGAAAGAAGAAGAAAAAAGAAGAAGCGATCACCTGGACAAGAAACTTCTTTGATTATGCTTAGGATTCTCCCTCAAGGTCGTCATCAGCGACATTTACGATTGCTTTGTAACCAATTACGTATTCTTTCAAGCCCCCTTTTTAAATAAGTGATATCTGAAGCATTTTTCCCGGGTATGAATTGAAAACAGACATGTACAGCAGAATTTATTAGTGTCAATAAATTTCGTGACAGCTTTTCAACTGTAGCCCGTCTCTGCATAACATAGGTAACGAATGGAAGCGCACAGCAATATGAATTTGCACAGAATGTCAATGCGTGAGAGCAAGGTCAATTGTCCTGGTAACCTTCACTCCTCGATTTACTCGAGACTGTGATTTGTGGTTAACACCCCGTCTCTCTCTTTCCTATATGATGCTTATGAAAACGTCCTTCATCTGATTATTCATTGCCCCGAACCTTGGCCTTGCTCGTATGCATTGAAATTCTCTACAAATTCATGCTGCTGTGTGCTTCCATTTGTTACCTATTTTATGCAGAGACGGGCTGCAGTTGAAAATCCGTCACGAAATTTATTGGCACCAATAAGTGATATCATCAATCTTTGCTTTACGTAAAATGCGTACTATGTAGTGCGCAAAATGTATGTGAAAATAAAACAGCAGAATGGGTTTGTTAAAATGTGCGAACTGGTAAATTATTTAAAGGCAGTTTGACGCCTGTTATTCACGTAAAAATCAAAGACCGCCATGCACGCGTGCGATGAGCGTGGGAGCTGATAATCTTGACCGGCACACAAGGGAATAGCAACGGCACGGCAACTGCATTCTTCAACACCTGGCCAGTCGAGCCGTGATGCACTCGGGAGCTGCTAACTGCGATAGGCATGTAGCAGCCTAGCAACTACGTCTTATAAATGCTGCAACACCTGGGCAATTTACCACCCCTATCTGACTCTGTCTCTGATGATGGATTCGAGTGAGAATCCGAAACGTCAGGCTAATAAAGCCCCTGTTCCAGCGATCGTGTCTCCTTCTTCGCGAAAGCTTCGCCTGTTAGTGGTCATTTACTCCTACGTGACCACCTGAAATTGCCTCAAGGTTGAGGCTCCAAGAAAAAACAGGACGCCCTTATGCCGTCTGAAAGTGAGGTCAGACTGACGAAATGCCACGCCCAAGAAAGCAGTTAATACCTGTCACTCAACCACCCTGCACAAAAACACTCGATCTAAACCAGCAGAACGTGAGCCAAATGTTCGATTTTAAGTCCGCAGGCGTTTGTGTGACTTTCATTTACTTCACATTGCTCTTTTTTGCCTGATAAACAAGGTCGAGCTACTGTAGGAATAAAATTAGTGGCTCCACTACATGTGCGTGCATATGTCAACAAATATCTTCTCCTCATGTGTTGGGGTGGTGGGCGGGATTTCTGCTAACAGATCGTACGTCGCAAAGGCGGCTGCCATACCGTTACTGCAGATTGATCTGAACTTGTGTTAATGGCCTCATTTCTAGGTTGTCAGTCGGAAGCCCAGCACGAAAGCAGATTTTTATGACCAATCACAATCGGCCGAAGTCGTAGTATAGTATGAGGAAGTGAGTATAAGAATTTGCCTTATTCGTAGCCATTTTAGCTAGCTGATTTGGGATTTTTCCACTCACCCGCACACGCATATTTCTTTTATTTACGGGAGGGTCCGTTTTAGAGTTAGTTTTGGGAGAGCTAGCTTTAGGATTGGGGTTGAATTTGGGGTTTAAGTAGGAACAGAGGAATGGGTACCCCTCACCTGAATTTAGCACAAGGCCACCCGTAGTATGGGAAGTGCTTAATCGACTCTAACTGACTTTTGTTCACCAGTGTATGTACTGTGAAATGTTTCCACCGAGGTATCCGCATCATGGCGGAGTTTGCGGGTTACTGCAACGTAGTAGTATTCTTAACTTGGTGTCGCCGTAAAAAGCCTTTAGTCGGACGTAAACTTAGAGGAGCTACTGCAGTAAGTATACAACAGGCCGAAAGCTGCCACTTTATTTACGGTTCAGGAGGAAAGAGACTGTTTGAGCACCGGAACAACCGGTCTGTTTGTCTGAAATCGCAAACTATGCTTCTCTGGCGTCTTCACCAGTGAAAAACTGGTGCGACAAGTCTGAAGCTGACTACGGAGGACTCTGTCGCTCTGTATAGTCCATGGAAACAACTCAAAAGAACTACGAGACTCCCGCGTCAGCTACCTAAGAAGTATCCTAAATGCAATACTCCGCATGAATGAATATGCGGGACCAGGTCGTGGAGTCCACTGGTGTGTTCCGTGTGTATTGCATGATAAAGCATATCCAGCTGCGTTGGAAAGGCCAAATTTTGAGCGCCTCAGATGAGCGTCCACCCAAGCTATTAGCAGCCAGGGACACAAGCAAAATGATACGAAGGCGTTCTGAAGACCTCTTCCGGGCGACTGAAACCCAGCCAGGAAACCGGGCTTACTTTGCGCAGATGGACACCGGTGGCGTTCTTAAAGTTCCGCAGAATTTCTTATCTTACTTGAGTCTTATAAAATGGCCAGATCAAACGTTGCGGGCCATTTCTTCTGCATATTTTCACTGGAACTGATTCGGCGTCCAGAACTTTCCCGTTGAATGTTTGTTGCGGTGTCCTGATTGTCTCTGTCTGAGACTTCCACTTTTGGCGTCACTTGACAGAGTCTGTTTATGGAGGCCTTGCAAACCAATTATGACGACTGGGAAGACACCTTTAATAGAAGTTTTTTGGCAGGTTTGAATGACCAATTTGACCCAGCTGTGTGATTAAAATCACTGCTCTTGGTGGATACTCGTAGCCCAAGTGGTTGGAACTTTGGCTGTACTAAAGCCTTCCCCTTGCCGTCGTGAGTTCATATCCCACTGAGGCCGCGAGATTTTCACAACTGGGTGAAAGGCATAATTAGTATTTGTCTAGGGCATGCATCCTTCTCTGAGGGGATGTAGTGTTACCCCTACATGGGACTGCTTATTCATCTCAAACGCCTGCGCTAGAGGTCAAGACTTTGCCTTAATGGACAGATGACCTAAGTACGGATTGCGCGTCGCCCATTCTGTGCGATATTTTGTCCTAGGAAAAGCAGGGATGGAGAGAAGTGGCGGAATTACCAGACACGGAGACGTACGCAGAACATCCTAATCTGGTTTTGCCGCCAGGAAGGATGGCCACCAGGGTGTGTCCGCGGTGCAGAACACAGCATCGTGGAGTCACAAATAGAAACTGGGTGCCGGGATGGGACAGTCGTATCATCAGACGGATGTCAGTCGTTAAAGTTGTAGTCCCCGTGCGTGCGCCTGAGATTTGTCCGCCTGCAGCCAATCAGCGAAGGCCGCAGCATCGATTGGCCTCGAGCTCTCCCCGAGCTGTGTTGCCAAGTCTCGCTCGGCTCAAGCCACCAAATGACAGGACACGTGAGGCGGACTAAGTCGGCGTGACTGAGTTGGCGGCCGCACCGACGACTACGGAAACAGACTGCTACAGGCCAATGAAAATGCATCCATCAAGTTTCTCGATGCCTTCGATGCTAACCATCTGCAAGTTCGTATCGAAAGGCCGGACAATGCACCAGTGGATCAGGAATGACCGCCGATGCACACTGTCAGTTCTACTCCATCACAGCTCCTACAGCACGCCTACCAAACTACATTTCATACACATTTCTGAAGGAAAATGAACCTGCAGATTATTGAAGATAGTGTTTTTAATATGCACCATACATTTAGTCTTGACTATCAATTTATTTGCATGCGCGTTTAGTGTCTATTCCCACAAGCTAGGTCTACTAATTTCACTTCGGTGTGTACATTTTAACACCTTCGTTTTCACCAAAAATTGTTATTAAGAGGCTAGTAAATGCCACTCTGCATGCAGACTCATATTCTATTTCCCTTAACATCGTTATGTGTTTTAATAGGCGTTCCGCACGATGTCTGACATGACTGTTAAATTAAAAGGCAGTCTGAATCAATTCGGCATGTTTCATGTCTTTTTTCATCTACTATAAAGACAGCAGTCGTCTAAGACTCACCTTACTGACAGAGCATTCTACGGATGGCGGAGTACCTCGGTGTCGAAGGTATTCTGCAACCCAGGAATGTGGGCTTGAAGCTTGGTTGAGGCAAGAATTCGAGTAATTCGTCGAAGCTTATCGCGGAATAAAATATGTGTAAAAGTCAAAATGCTTGTGTAGTTGCAAGTTTGTCTATGTGTATGGGATGGTAAATCTGTTCTGTAGAAAGCCAGAAATAGCTGTCTACAACCCATTCCCGCCCACTTCCTAGGCCAAAAGTCGGAAATGAATCTCAGCAGTCTTAAAGTTCGATACTTTTCACCTCTACCAGGAAGGTTATGTGAGTTCACGCGTTGAACAAATGGTGTCGTAAAGGCACTCGTTCAACCACGACATCAAATACAAACTTGTTTCTACTTCCCCCACCGCCTACTTCACACTGTGCCCTCTACAAAAGGCAACGCATGACAACATGCATATTTAAATTTCAATGGAAAGCACGAAGATGGCTATTCATTTGGTGACTTTTTCAAACCTAAAACCGTCTGCAGGGTAAATACGCTGCTTTATAAATTAAGACAAAAGTATCCTGTTAAAAGCGAGGGTTTTTTTTTCGAAAAAGAGCCTTAGTATTTGTGGTACCAGTCAACCTGATATAGAAAACGTTCCTGATCGATTCTGAATTGGCAAATGCTTTTTGCTGGTCTCAAAGCTCCATTTACACAGTAGTAATAGAGCATTATAAATTGGCCGACCAATTTCTGGATTTGAATTTCTCGACATTGACGGTCCACACGCATCTAATGTGGTCCTGGGCGGCAAAACTTTAACTTTGAGGAAGTTAGCCACGCATGTACGTAAACTGCAGGCAAAATACGCCACACAAAAGTCTCTATATGTCTTTGGGGTAGTTCGTCGTTCCATTTTTAATTACAACTGTAGACTAGGTTCGATTTAGGGACTTACGACCGCTTAGGGGATTGAGCGCGGTGTCCCATTACAGTCGTCTGCGTCCATCAGCGGCAGCAATAATTTCACCGGTAATGACGGCTCATTTCTTTCTTATGACATTTTGTGTACAGTGTGAGCTTCTACGAAGCGCTAAGTCAACTTCCCACCACAGACGTAGTCTCGGATATTGCATAAGTTAACACCTTCATCCTTGAGTCGAACCGGTATCGCATGAGGTTCCTCCAAGTGGCTGATCAGTAGAAAAAGGCCCGAGTGAATGAGGCTACGGTCGAGGCCACCCTGCTCTACAGCTGCAAACGTTGACCCATACGTTCTCTTGGTATGAAGAAAGCAGAGGCGCTTGGCAAGCAGTACCTCAACCGAATATTACGGTTTCAGTTCATGAACTAGCCCTTGAAAGTTGATCGAGGACAAATGCTGTTAATTTTGAAGTACAAGGCTGCCATCTCCGTTGAATAGGTCACGCGCTTCGCCGAAAGGATGGGAAGTTGCCCCCGAAGGCATCTTTTTGAATGCTCGTTCCTGTTGGTGCCGCCGCCGCCACCGCCGTGGTGGTGGTGGTGGTGGTGGTGGTGGTGGTGGTGGTGGTGGTGGTGGTGGTGGTGGTGGTAATCAACCAAAATACGAAGAGATGTGTGAACTTAAGGATCTTCGCTCACAAAGACAGGGGTAGCAGAATGGTCACTTCTGGCAGAGTGGTGCCGAGGTTTGAACTTCGGTCAGTTTGTCAGGCAGCACCGTTCTAACCACCGCACAGTGCTCATATCAGCTCTGCAGCGGATGCTGGGCCGGACAGTCCAGGAAAATGGGATGTCAACTAAAACCAATTTCCGAGAGTCTAATAGACCATCTTGGAACCTCAGACGGACAACTGCGCGAGACCGCGGAGCCCAGAAGCGACCAAATCAAATTAGGGGTAGTTGATACATGTACAATTGTGTAACGTTGATACGGTATTGCATTTTTGAACTTACCCACGAATACATCATGTTTTGTGTATCTGTTGTGAATTGAATGAACACTTTGAATGTTCATTTGTAACAACCAGCGAAATTTTAGCAAGGCTGATTTATACCTACATGTTCTCTGCTAAATGTCGAATGAACACTAAGGTAGTGATAACAAAAACGTCAAAACGACTGTCATTTTGGGAAAAACATAACCGCTCATCATGATTTGTAACATGAAGAATAGAAAGTCAGTAGTGGGTAAGAGGACCGATAGACACATCTTAACGATTGGGAACGGAGAATAATGACTCTCCAATCGGCAATAGCCACGGATCCAGGTCCAGTTGGTGCTGTCATACACAGTGAACTCCCAATCGGCATCCGACCAATCAGCGTTAAGCCGGCTGCCGTCTGTCCACTCGGTCGCCTCCGGCTCAGAGCCGGACAGCGAACAAGTGACCTATATAACAACTTACTGTAGGAATATGCCGCCTGATAATGCTCCGTCGTACTAGCTTTTGGAGATCAACTCCACCGATCCCAGATTCCCCCGGTTCGATGGGTGCGGCTGTCAACATGGTCATCCTTATCGGCCTAGTTCTAGCCTGCAGTCTGCAAGTCGTATTTACGACTAGCAGAATTTCTCATGCTGTACTTCAAAATGTTGAAGATGTCTTAAGAGCGAAAAGGACTGCATTCGCACTGTCTGATGCTCAAAAAGAGTCCAGCCACAGTCCTGTCGCGCGGATGTCATCAGAAGGTTCTCCCGACCAGTTTCACCAAGATCCCTGGAGAGCTGGTAATTTTTGCTTATTTAAAAGAGCCCGAAAAAGCCATTGCAATTTTATTTACTCCATTCCGTCGGACTTCCTTTTAGCTGTCCCGTTTATTCAGCTAGCCTCTTGTTTGTCATGACGAGACTGATTAAGGGAATTTTCGTTGCCCGTGAAAGCATGTTTTCTGAGGAAATATGTCTCAAAGCACTTTAATGCATTTGACAATCTTTAATAAGTTCGAGTTTACATATTTAGCTAGATGAAAAGTGCCAGCATTAAAGTTAGGCGCTTTGACCCCTATATCTGCCTCATATCCAGGCGTGTTTATCATTTATCCACATAGTCCTTGGCGGTGATTAAGTTCATTTTATTGATAACCGACCCATCTCGACTATACACTAGACCTCTAAAAACTAGAAAACGCGAGTCGCCAGACAAACATAGAGCGATAGGGTCAGAGAAACCGTGAGTATGTCATCCTGGGTCTTCGAACGATGTCGTTGCATCACGGTTCACAGCTTCTCGCGATATCCAGTATCGATATCAACAGTGATCAGTCTCATCATAGTGATTTTATTATGAGTTCTTGGTGATTAATTAACCACTCTCACGCATAATTGGATGACGCTTGTACAAAACTGTTGGCCCCACTAGGAAGCCTACCAAATTAACCGAAGTACATAAGAGTCAAGATCGGACTGATTCGAACGACCTAACTGCGCGCATGGTTTATCTAGGCCATCTGAATGGGCATGTGTTCATCAGGACATCCTGTTGTCTGTGCAAAGTAAAGGCTGATTTCTCAACCGTGATTTCCTAAATTCTGATTTGGGACAAGTACACACACACCTGGACGGAACGGTGACCTAATCAACGAATTAAATTAGCTGTATACAGTAAAGTCCAGTTAATTGGGCCGCTGGTCAGTTGAACTGGCCGTTTATTCAGCCGAATCCTGGAGACCAGATCTGAATGGAATGAGTAACGGTAAGCGTTCCCTGCAACAGACAAGTTCGAGCTGAAAGCGTTAGTTGTTCGCCTTTGAGCTGAAGACAACACATTGCATACACGTTCCAGGAAAGGGTTAACAGACAAAAACCCCAAGGACGTTTAACCACTAAGAATGATGCTTCCCTATCAAACTCGGCCTGAATGACCCCATACCGGCCTCGACTTCTTTGATCGCAGCTTATCGGGCAATCTTAGAAAACGACACGATGGATTTTACCATCTTTCAAAGTGTATGCTTGAAATGCACGTTTGTAACACAATAAAAGTAATGTCGACCCCAAGAGCGTACACAGTCAATGAATTCAGAAGATAGGTAACTTCGCCCGTTCGAATACGTTTTCACTTTCATTGGCTGCATGGGGATTTTTAGCCTTGCTGCTGTAAACAGGCTTTGTTGGCGGGTGCCTTAATTTCAACTTCGGGTGTCTCTCCTGCTTGCAATTGATGGTAATTTTAACCACTTGACGTCTGGAAAACAATCGTCTTCCTGATGAGTGCCTTGAACATGCTCTCTCTAACTGCGATCGGCAATAAGGCTCCTACATCCAGAGGAATGTGCTCTCTACTCAGTTGAACACTAGCTATACCCGTGATTGGATGTTTTGTCGTAGTGGATGAGTGACTCTTGACAACGGGACAAGCACTCCGGAAAATTCGTCAGCATTCATTCAGTGGTCAGTGCAGACCGTGGTCCCAGAACAGACCTCGAAACGTTTCCCCTATCTTATCTTCTTATCCTGGCCAGTATCTGCTTCCTAATGCCATTTTACCGATGCTTCACAAGAGTATCTGACGATCCGTTGCGCTCGCCTTGTTTTCAGGATATATGAACAACTTGAGTGAAATGAAGTACTTAGTGGTGCTTCAGTTAAATCTCTACCCCTATTTTCTGGGTTTGTTGCGGATGTTTTAAACACAGCATCGTGTTTTCTGCTGAAATTCTATCCGAAAGTATCCCTAAAACTGCTTGCAGTAATGGTCCGCGTACTTCATTAGTGACATTGGGGTTCTAAAGAAGTCCAATGCGAAGTGACTGTTTTCGTTCCTTTGCCCCTAAACGTGATCGGAAAGGCAAACTATTCCGCCATGCCTTGGAGGAGGTTATGTGCACGTTTTATCGAAACTTACAAGATATTTACTTGAACGGAGCATGTGAGCGCTGAATCACTGTTTAGCATAACCTACTCTACTTCGCAGCAAACACTTGGACAGGCTACTTTGACCGCGTGTGAGCTAGCAAGCTAATCAGGTGACATGCATGCGGAGTCAGGAGTCAATGCAATGCGACGGACAAGGAGATAGCCGCTGCCTTAACGCGTGCAGTATTCACGAAAAGACTCGACTGCACGGAGGTCTGTAACCCTGCATCCGTAAACAGGTAGCGTTGGCGAGTGTATTAATCGTTAGTACTACCCCTCCCTCAGCTCCCGATGGATAGTTTGAATTATTTTTAAACAGTCGTCTCCCTGATAATTATTCTGAGGGCGCGAATGCCTCCTAAACCCCTAAGGCTGTGCTCCCTACAAAAGGAAGTGCTAAAGTGTTGCGACAAAAGTGTCTCCCAATTATTCAGAGACACTGGTATACTTAGAATCACGTCAGAATGATCTTTTTAATAGAAGACTTATCTACCGGACTTATAAGCGGTGCTTGAAGTTCGACAAAAACACAACAGATTCATTCTCGAATTCCCGTACGTTGCTCAATACAAAAGTGCTTTTCTTCGCTTAATGCCATCTTGAGTCATGTAATGAAGAGCTTGGATTGGGTAGGCCTTTGCCCCACCAAATCGATCCTGGGTAGGCTGTGCTGCGTACTTTTCCGTGAACTGGACTGCGCTTTCAGTCGACGGAGGTGGGAAACGAGCGTCCTGGGTCGACTAACCTTCATCAAAAGCGTGAGAAACATACTATGAGGAGGTAAAAGTAATTTGAATCTATAACGGCGAACCATCAATCGCGACTTCAGGAAATGTCAACTGATGGCATCGGTCGGTCTCACTCAAGACAAAATGCCAAACTGTATTGGCTAATTAGTCACGAGACGTCTATGATAAACTAACGGATGTGTTAAAAACGTCGCCTAAATCAAGCCAGTTAAGCAAGGATTCGGCAAATAGTTCCCGATTTCTACCGTCGTCCTGTAATAGGCGCGGGCCAAAAGTGCGAAGACCAAGTTCGACGCAGAACAAATCACATATACTAATACACCTGGGTTAGAAAATCTACCACTGCGAAACGAGAGCGCGTCATAAAATGTGACGCCGTAAAACATTTCAAATATATCGACTAAAATAGAGTCGGAAAAAAAAACGCAAAGAAAATTAAAAGAAAGAAAAATATTAAAACAAAAAAAGACAAAGGGCGCAGGATATAGCATAAAAAATAAAAAGGAAGACCAACAAATAAAAAAATGAAACGGCAAAATAAGATAAAAAAGACAATAAAAAGAACAAATATAACAAACATAATTTTGCTAAAAACAGAAAAAGAACGGAGAGACGACAAACCAAACAAAGATTTCGTAGACCAGGACGAGGATGTCGTGGTGGATGAGACCGGCAGACACGCGGTGCCCGGAATGATCAACGATTCCGAAGACGAGGACGAGGATGTCGTGGTGGATGAGACCGGCAGACACGCGGTGCCCGGAATGATCAACGATTCCGAAGACGAGGACGAGGATGTCGTGGTGGATGAGACCGGCAGACACGCGGTGCCCGGAATGATCAACGATTCCGTATACGATGTCGAGGATTTTATTTTGTCTTAAGCTCCTCTTTTCTGTTGTTTCTCTATTTCTTCTTTCTTTCTGTCCCTTTCTTTTTTTTTCTTCTTTTTATACGTTTATCCTTCTTCCTTTCCTACGTGGCTTTCTTCCCTGAAGTATTGTTCGTTGTTCAGCGTTTTCTCGCCATGTCTTTCTCTTGGACTTTGTTTCTGAGGCTTTTGGCTTTACATGTTTTTCGGTTTACTGGATCACTTTTGCTCTGGGTATCCTCCGCGCACGTATGAATCAGTATGTTTCCAATTTCCGACAGGCCTTTGTTCTTTTCCTTTATGCTGTCTTCGAGGGCGAAATCATTTCTCGTTTTAGCCCCTCTGTCTTCCATCCCCTTCCCAGCTTGGATCGGCAAGTCCAGCATAATTTCCTAAAATTCTTCCACCAACATTCTTCAGGCACTAGGTAAAAATTAGCAGCTACAAGCTGATAGGATTTTATTGACAGTGTAAGGCTCTGGAATTGGTGCTATTTCTATGCAATATTAAAGAAGATCGGTCATCTCGTGTCTCCAAAATTATACCTCATAAAATAACCATATCCGTTGTCTGGATGGATGTTATATGCCGTCTCTGAATGCCGGACATGAGCCACCAGGCAACGGGGGTTGATCACTCCCTTACTCTGGCGTTCACGACAACTCTGGCAAACACGGAGGTACACAATCCCCTATTTCCGGAGTCACCCAACGTAAACTCTGTCTCTGCTACCGCAAATTCACGCCTTGCTGCTAAAATGCAAGCGTTAGTTCCAAGTATTCGAAATACCAGAGCTGCGGTGGATACTTATTGATTGTTGAGAATTGCGTGAACTGGCATAATGTTTTTTTCCTGAGCAGTTTTAGATATTTCAGCGAGTACGCCTTAATAATTCTACTCATCTGCTTGCGTCTTCAATAACGAAGACAAGCGAAGTGCGAGAAATGCACTTATCGAATATTTGGCGTCTCTCTGAAACATCTTAACGGGCAGCTTCTGGAAGCGCTTTCGACCCGTCAAGGACTCACGACGGTGGACAAGACATGACTGTCATCGTTGGTCAGATATCCGGTCAGCAAGGAATTCTAGACCAGACATAGAATTATGTCCTCTCACAGTCCTTTTTGAGCATGCGAAAACTAGATTCCTCCCTCTAGGATCTCG